TCAGAAGCACTGGAATATAAGATATACTCGTTAAATAACTAAAAGAACAAACAAAAAGTTGTTAAATGTATCCCTTGAGTTGATAAGATGGAAATAAAACAATCTTTTGAAGTTCATCCTTCCAACCCCCCTCCCCCCACCCGAACACCTCCATCTCTTTAGTGTCCTACTGAAAGTACAGCATATGGGGAGTCAAAGGTTGACAGGAAGGGAAAAGGTTTGCCCGAGTATGATAAATTACTCCCCTCCACACTCGTAGATCGTGTACAATAACTAGATGTAGAATGCCCCTTGAGTTTACTCAATAATCACCCCCGATAGATCAAAGCACCTCCTCCTCCTCCTTTGTATTTTGTGGTTTAACAGCTCTGGTCAAAGTCAGTTTTATGCATTCCTGTGGACCAGTTGTTTAGGTTTGGGTGTGATCTTAAGGCAGTATCTCCAATTTCGTACTCGAAAAAAAATTGAGACATTTTTCAGAATAGGTTACAAAGCTTTCATCTCAATGGTTAAACTGTTGGCTTTCTATTAATTATGATCGATAGAGACAGTGTTGATTGAAGGCCTTCAGACATCATTAATCATTTTTATGTAAGAATATTTATTTATTTCAAATGGGAGGCGTTATGATAGGTATCATTAGCCCTTTAATTGACTTCGGGCTTCACAGAAAAGAAGAGCAAAATCAAAGTGGCGAAAAGTCGAGAGGGAAACAGAATAATGATTTACAGACGTAAAAGAGACAGACAGACACAAAGGTAGAAAAAGGTAAGATGAGTACTGCGAAATTATTCGAATATGAAATGCAGTGAGAGACGTAAAAGAGACAGACAGACACAAAGGTAGAAAAAAGTAAAGATGAGTACTGTGAAAGTGGTCGAATATGACATACAGGAGTACTGTGGAATTAGTCGTATATGAAATGCCTTGGTAGTTTGAAGCCAGACGTCAACTGCCGATTAATAGACTTTTTGCCGTATGAGCATACGTTGCCCAGGGTGCACCACGTGGAGGTAAGTCTATCGCACACCCCTTTTAGGAATATCGAATATATATACATATATATTTATATTTATATATAACCCTTTTCATTCAAAATTGTGCTCATATCCGACAGTTGTTTCCCATAGCTTTCAAGGTCGAGTATCATAAAGAAAGACCTCCTCTTCAATTGAATTCCCACCCTCCTTCTTGACGTTGAAGCAGTTACTTCTTCCAGTTGCGTCCATGGCAAACGCTTCTCTCATTTCCCTCGCTAATTGCATCCACATTGTTTTTTTTGAATTAATTGGACTCACTGACGTTCGAATAGCATTTAGTAATATATCAGGACCTCCAAGATAGATAAAAGTTTATTCGTAATTTTAAAATTAAAATTAAATTGCTTTGCTGCAATATTTGATTTTTTTAAATATCTGCGACACTTGCCTGTAGTAGAATTTTTGTCTCGAAAAGTTTGTCTGCGGAGAGGTAAAACAGTTCTTTCTCCTCGTCAACAACCACTGAAGTAAATGTCATGCCATTTGGGGAAAAGAACAACAATACTTAAATACCGACAAATCCCGCAATATTAACAGAAATAGGCGAAAATAATTGTGGGTTAAGTATTGTCTGTTGTGGAAAATAAAAAAAATAGACGATAGACCTGGAGTCTATTAAATATTTATTTGCATATTTATTTATAATCAAGCGAATTAATTTTCATTTTAGAACCATCCAAGCTGCGGTTAATCCTTCGAAGAAGAGGAAAAAATCTTTGCCCTAGGAAATATAAATTCAGTTTTCACTTTACTGATCAATATTTATTTATTTGTATCAAATGGCAGGCGTTTTGATGGTTATCATTGGCCCTTTAGTTAACTCCAGGCTTCACAGAGGGGCAGGAAAATCAAGGGGGAAAAAAGTCGAGAGGGGGGGGGGACAGAAGAGTGTTTCAAAGATGAAGCTAGAAAAGGTAGAAAAAAGGTGAGGTGAATACTGTGGAAATAGTCGAATATGGCATAGAGTGAGGTGATGATAGTTTGAAGTGAGAAGTGAACTGTCAGTTAATAGACTTTTTTGCCGTGTGAGTATACGTTGCCCAGGTTGCACCACGTGGAGGTAAGTCTATCGCACACCCTATAAAATTAAACTATTTTTCTAGAGCTTGCAATTGAGGATTAAACCCCCCCCCCCCTATTGGCCCGTTTACTTCTAATTTTAGGAATTGAAGATAAATAGGGAACGCTCTTTACACTATCCAACAAAAACGCAATTATTGAGTTAGATATACAAATCTTATTATTGGTGTGACTTAAATTAAAGGCACTGAATAGGTGGAGATTTTTAAATATACACCAAAACTGACCTCTATGACCTAGTGGCACTTTCACTTAACTGTCGATAATATTTGTAACAGGGGGGAGGGTTGAGGGGGGGGGGGAGATGGGTGGTCCCTTCTTTGACCCAGTGTCAATAAAAAATAACGAATCTGGTGGCCAGTCATTAACACGTGCATCGCATATCTCTCACCGCTCAAACTCTTCAGCCTCCCCCCCCCCCCCCCTNCCCCCCCCCCCCCACCTTCACCGCCCCTCCTTTACCCTCTTTTTTCGTTTTCCCTCACATGGACGTGTTCAAACACCTGGTGGTCAATCACTCCTCCTACGTGAACCAAATTTTAATGGACACATTTGAAGATTATCTGGCAAAAACACTGGGAGAATATCAAATATTGGTACGAGAATGACGAGGTGGAGCGAGGGTGGAAAAAAACACTAACTTTGTTTAATTTAAATCTGATCAAGGAGCCAATAGGTGGGGTGGGGTGGGGGGGGGGGGATTTCTTATGGGTTAAATTTACTTCCTTTCAATTGCCGTAAGACATTGCAGTGAGGTCAGTTATTTGCCAATGAGTAATGTGTTCAACCACTTGGCAAGCAGAAAAGCGATGAGCAAGGTTCAAACAGAAATATATAGCAGGGCAGATATTTGAAGAGAGGGAGAGAGAGGGAGAGAGATTGAATCCGTCTTCAACGGATTGATGATGTCAGTCGTCTCGAGGTGTTGTCAATGATCATACGGGTAGTGCGTAAATGTGAGTAGCTGTATTAAATTAATTTGAGAATTGAAAACATATGGACGACTAACTCTCCTAGTCGGTTAATGTTTAGTCGATATTGACACTAATTGAAAAGGGTACTTATTTCTATGGTCCATTCATTTTTTTTAACAATATTCGCAATACTCGAGGCACCGTTTTAATTGGTTGAAGTTCCTTTGAAAGTGATTGGAGATTTTGATTCTGCAGACTAGAGTATTGATGCCTTGAAGTTGTTCGACAAAGCATTACTGGCAGAAGCGCAATAATATGAACAAAACAAATCCGCGACAATTAAAATTCACGCGACAATGTTAACCACGAGCATTCCACTTCCGCCTTTGCTCCCACTAACCGACGCGCGATTGGCATTTTTTGTTTCGTCCCCTTCACAAACGACATTTTCAACTCCGGAAGTAGGCTCTGCTTAGTTTGGACGCTGTTGATTACCAAAACCACTGCCTCACTCGTTTCAAAATTGCAATTAAATCGGCTATGTCCAAGATGTAGAAAAATGAGGGGTAAGTAACCTCCTAATCAAATTTCGCTTAATCGAAAGAAATAGGGAGGGCAGCCGAAGGTAAGAACAATTAGCCTCTTTAGATGAAATTCTCGCTTTTCAAGTTGGGCGCATTTGGCTTGGGTGGAAAGAAGTATGCAAGCCTGAATCAACGTCCACATAGATCGATTTATTGTAATTATAGCTGTTGGTACAAGAATATGCAATCCTCGTAAATGGCGCTGAATAAGTGCATATATATATTTACTCAGTTATTAAATCAGGTTTTAGAGTCACCGTCCAATCGAATTTAGTCCAGTAGGTTGAGTGATGCGGGCAGGTGGGGCCAAAAAAGAAAACAAAGAAAGCGACTTTCCGCTTGATGCGTATGTTGTGGATATACACCTAACCAAGAGAGGTTGGGGTGGGGGGTGGGGGGTTAAAGTGATGGGGCTTGAGTTACTCACACTCTAACTGCTCATTACCATGCTGTGAAAGCAGGTGAGTGAATGTGAGAACCAACTTGTGCGAGTCATCAATTCGCTACCTACCGCGTGTCACTATTTCACTAAGCTGCCATGCATTCTACCCGGTTTGTAAGCTTAACTCCGTCGCAAGGGGCTTGTTGCGTAGAAGTTGAATATCATCCACCATATCCTGATAAAATTTGACTTTTCTCTCCGATTTCATTTAATTAAGGGTTGGTATGCACACCGGTGGTGAATCCATAGCTGAATATGTCGAATCAGCTTCGTGGATATTTAATGGAAGTAGGGGCTAATTACTCTGCCTAAAACTGGTCGTGCTGAATGATTTCATCGAGAACGTTTTATAATTAGAATTGTTCGTCTCATAACCGATTTATTTAAACGCATGATTTTGAGGAGGAATTTTAATACGATTTACTTTTCCGATGGGACTCCTGCCTATTTGCTGTATTCTGAATTACCAGTTGGTTTCAATGCCTATGGGAAATCGTTATCAATAGAAAATCCCTAACAATCTAAGGAAAGTGCTCTTAGTAATTGTGTTTTTTTTGCTGTTCTATATTTCATCACGATTATACTTTACCCTTTGTTGAAATACTACTTAAATTGAAGTATTCAAAGTTAATCGTTCACTTCCATCGGTTACTAAGTGGCCGTTTGTTGGACCAATCATTACTAGACGCACGTCCGCACTCCACATACCATACACACACACACACTCACACACATGCACACAAACCACTACCAGAAAAGCGAGTGAAGCACATACCCGCACACACCGCACTTCCTGAGCGTACAGGCACGTACATTGCGGGTAACGCGGTATTGAGAGACAGCAGCAGCAGCCACCATCAAATCGTCACGGATATAAATCGACACGCGCACACTCAAATAACCAGTTCAACAATCTGCCGTTCCACTGCCGCTCAGAGCTATGTCAGACCTAATGGTTGCTGCTGAATTTACACTTCGAAGGGCGCTTCATGATCATCCCGGAGATCTTGTGGTTACTGGGAGTCCTCATTTACTCTGCTCACGTTTACCAAAACATTGGCGATCTAATAAGTCTCTACCTACACCATTTCGAGTAGTAAGCTTGGCCCCTGTGTTAGATGGAACAAGGGTATCAGTGAGTGCCGGAAATGAAGAAAGACCCTTTGCTGAACTCAAAAATGCAGTTGCCATTATGCAGAATCAAGAAGCTAGGTTCAACGATCTAAGGTTCCTTGGACGAAGCGGAAGAGGTAAAACTCGTTCCCATTTTTTACATACATATTCATAAGTTTGATCTTAGTGCGTCAAACGTATTTTAAAACTACAGTTAGATGATATTTCTCACGTTTTTGTTTTAATCAATTGCTTTAAAATTTTTATTCAGCAATAGGTTGCTCAAATTCTGATAGCTATTTACCATTGGAATGCTTATTGCGGCTTGATGACTGACTATTAACGCTTAGCTGTTATCTCAATATCCAATCACATGTCCCCTTGCGTGTATACTTTGCGGTTTTGCGGTTTAACTGATACGTGTGAGTTGGAAGTGACCAATAGCATGGAAGTTGGTATCACTTGCGGTTTGCGCGCGAGTTGCTAATTGGTGTGATATCGATAGAGTTCAGAAAGCTTGTGTAATTCACAAAAAGTTAACCATGGCTTACTCATTTAACAAAAATATATATTGTCATAGACAGCCACTCTAATATTAACTTCATATATTCATTCCAACTCCCTACTTTCTGCATACTTGCTTAGCTTGCTGAAAGCTTGACTTATCAGGGCACAAGTTTGAAAACTCCCATTTGTTTGGGCCTCCGGGCGAAAAATTTTCCATAACCGTCTTAGTCACCCTTCACTGTATTCATCGTCAGTGATGATTCAATTTATTCAATTAAATTTATGCGAGATTTGCAAATCTGCTAATTAGCCCTCTATTCGTTTACTTAGTCATTCTTGGTATTCATAGGATCGATATATAAATATTTAGTTAATCTATACTTTACTGACTGTTGAGTAATCAAATCAGTTCGGTTGGAACAAAGAAGGATGCGACTACCATTGTTAGCGTAGTATTGATTCTCCTTGGTCTTGTATGATAAGAAAATGTTTTTTTAAGGAAGGAAGTGATTGATTCTATGCCAGTTCCTTCATTATTTTAGGAAAATCTTTCAATGTAACAATAACTGTTGAAAGCAGTCCTCCTTTGGTCGGAGTCTATTCACATGCCATCAAGGTCACAGTGGACGGACCTCGAGTACCGAGAACAAAATATGGTGAGAGACTTTTCAATTTCATTAATTACAATATATAGTCTGCTCACTTTCACGCTTGAATTCCTTCCACTTTGTCAGGTTTGAATTAACTTTGAGTTTTGCCGAAATGCAAGAATAATCAAGTTCAAAATAAATGTCCACCTTTAAACCAACCAGCTTTAATCTTGAAACAAGATAAGTCAACAAAAACCCAACTTCTAGAAAGTTAGCCCCATTTTATTACGTATTTATCAATGATTCATTAATGGTTGCTCCTTCATTAATCCATTCAACTGTTAACGATTTCTGTATCTCTGGTGTGAAATGATAACACTTTTCTGCTAGATTGAGTGAGCATATGGTACGAGTGGGATTCCAGACCAGGAGAAAGCCTTTTTTGCATATCTGCCTTCACAATCTCAATTCTCCCCTTTCCCTCCTCCCGCATGCATTCACTTGTCCCCTCCCCTCACCTACCCACTCGCGGAACTACCTTTCTACTCAAACTCCCCTTCAAATTATAATAATGGGCTCATAGTGGGCTTAATTTGGGGAAATGAGTCTATCACCAGATGGCTCATTCCTAGTTCCACCATATGCTCTGGGCAGTTACCATGCACCCCATTTTACTATAGTCTTAAAACCCTCTGATAGCAAAATATACTCAAATGAGAAACCAATAGGCATTAAGACAATATGGGCCCAGACCGTTTGCTCATTGACCAACTATAAACACCTGAATTTCCAGCTTGTAATATGTTTGGATGTCAACAAGTACGGTTATTTATCAACGGATATATATATGTATATAATATTATATTTTATTCTTTGTAGCATCAGTTAGTCGAACGATAAAAGTGGACAATGAAAGGTTCCCATCATTTGCACCGGAAAGACTGTCAAAAAATTACGAAAGATCTCGTTTACCTCAAACAATTATCGATCGAGCTCATCGATATCTGGATGTCGCCAATAAAAGAGATGGTCTCAAACGTTGCATGAAAATTGACCCTGACAGTTTTGAAGATAATTCAGAATTAGAGAGTAAGTTTTCGTGCCTAAAGCACACTTGATTAATGTTTTCAAGGTCTCATCTGACGATGATCTTTCACACTTTCTAGATCCCAAAAAAATGAAAACCCAACAGCCTCCTCAGAAACCATTTGGCATTTCAACATTTCCCAGTATGCCAGCTAAAGAACATCGGTCATCTCTACAGAACTCCATGTTTCCTCCATTTACAATTCCACAGTTCTTTCCACCGCCTTTCAAATTCGATTTAAATAAACAGATTTCGAATCCGAACTTCGTCCCACCCTCGCAGGATCAGCCAAAGGTGCCTGTACCACCAGTGCCAAACTTAATTGAATCAATAGCAGCTTCTATAAATCTTCCATTGCCAGCCTATTCATTGCCGTTGTATTCCGCCAACGATCTGTCTACAAAGACCTCTGAGAAAACTCAAACGTCAAAGACTACTCATGGTTTCCTTAGCGTGGAGAAATTGTTGGCCGATGCTAATCAATCCCGAGATGGTCAGAACTCTCCGTCATCTACATCTTCCATTTCGTCAACTACCATTTCACCAGATATTCCAGGTGCGCTAAATCCATTCCCAATGACAACGCTAGCTTCCACTCAAATGGAAACAGCCTCTGATTTCTTTAAGAAGCTCTTTGCAGCTACAAGAACGATGGTCTCATCTCAATCTGCTCAACAATTGATCACTCTTCCGAAAACTCTATCGGACAGTTTCATTCCCCCACCTCCTCTCAACTGGTTAAGGCTTCTCCAAAATCCTCCTGAAATGTTCCCTACTCAGGAAAAGGGGCTTGCTCTGCTAACAAGAGATGCCGGTAGCAATTCAACTTGATCAAATTTGAGAACAAAATACAGAAACATTTATGCATTTTCCTAACATTTATTCCCCTTCTCTCTGTGTTACGACGTTATTTAAGGATTGAAAAGAATTATAATTTTACATTCAAGTATAATATTTGAATATTTTGCATTTATGGCCCTGGAGTTTGTCTCGAAATTAGAGCAACCTATTTAATATTATATCTTCATTTTCAATTGAAGGATAAGTGGAAGAATTATTGAGATGTACTTAAGGTTTCGTAATGTACCAAATTAGCTAACTGAGTTGCAGTCCTTAAAGCGGATATTTTCTCTTGGATTCATCTAATAATTTTAAATTTTATGGTATTTCTATGGTTTGTTGATCGTAATTGCAGTTAAGGAAGTCTTTATCAATGCCATCAAAATTGTTATTTGGCCAAAAAGATTAAAATTAAAGTGCTTTAGTTAATTTAATTTTCTTTAACTAGAAACCATATTTAGTACTTGGCATTTGGCACAAAGCTAATTCATTAATTAGAATTTTTGGGGTTGATATTTAAATAGCAAGTTCCGAAAAAAAATGGGTACTCCACTGTCTTCCAGATGATAATATAAAGCACATATAAAATAATATAAACGATATATACCTCTCTCTTGTTTATTTCAATTAAATCATTGTTCAAAGTAACCCAGTTTCTAGATATTTCACCTAGTAAGACCATGAGTATTTGAAAGATGTCTGGAATGAAAGCTAATACGCTTCATATAATTGAAAATGATAATTTTGTAGTATATATATTTAAGGCAAAAACAAATCGATTATTAGTCTTAATTTCGAGATTCTTGCATAATTTAAACGAAATATCGTTGGTCTGGATCTTTTTGACTCCCCGAAAATTTCCTGACATAGCTCATCACCCTCCCTTTAATATGGAAATGTCAAATGTCATAAGGGTTTCTTTCAATTAATTCTTGTTACATTCCTCATTATATTTGACTTTTTAGACATAAATCGGTTGACAGAAATCAGCATACTACACAGCGGTAACGATCGGGTAACAGAAATTATTCTCACTCTAGAAGTACCCTACTACACAACCATGAGGACTTCCTTTAAACAAAGAGCCTTATTATGCTTGAACGCTGTTATTTATGCGGTTATGCGGTGTTTAAATGCCTATTCCAGGGGGTGGGGGTGGGGAGGGATGGAGTGGGGAGAGGTGAGTGCTGGCATAATGTGGTGTGGGAAGGGGCGGTGGATTTGTGGCAATGTCCTGGGTTTGTAGCGCAGTTATGACCTCATTCCCTCTCCTTGACTCTCTGTTTACATTATCCCTTAACCGCGGCATCGACGATAAAATGTGGGATAGAGGGAAAAAATCTGCAAACCTTTTTTGTCATTTAATGCAATTTCAATGAAAAGGAAGTGATTAGAATAAAAGAAATAAACGGAGGGGCAGTATTTGATGCTCCTGCTGGAAATATGCTCTTAATCAGAATCAAACGTTGAGTGGAATTACGTCGAACGCTGTCGGCTTAGTAATGAGTGTCAAAATTGGGCTCCCTAAACCTCAAATCAATTGTAATGTAAACGAAGAACATACAACGGTCCGCCTCTACCACATTTAATTGCTCAACGCTGTGACCTTCGAGATCTTACCTTCGCTCAATCATGCGCATGCCAACAGCTGATCACTGAATAAAAATGCAAATTAACTAAAAATTAAATATCTATTTCTTAAATTGAATAATTTTTTATAAACCTAATTTTAGTTGAAACGGTCTCCTTGAAGGGTGTTTGGAAATAGTAACCCGAAAGTAATGACTGAAGTCCAGTAAAAATTGATAAGAATTTATTTTATTTATTTATATCAAATGGCGGGTGTTTTGATAGTTATCATTAGCCCTTTAGTTGACTTCAGGCTTCACAGAGGGAAAGGAACATCAAAGTAAAAAAAAGTCTTGGGGGGGGAGACAGAGGAGAGTTTCAAAGATGTAAAAGAGACAGACACAAAGGTAGAAAAGGGTGAGGTGAGTACCGTGTAAGTAGTTGAATATGACATACAGTGGGGTGATGGTGGTTTGGAGTCAGAAGTTAACTGCCGGTTAATAGACTTTTTTGACGTATGATTATACGTTGCCCAGGGTGTGCCAAGTGGAGGTAAGTCTATCACACACCCCAAATTGCTTAGAATAGTAGGTAAAGACCAAAGTTGAGCCGAAATTTGTAGTTTCTTAAATTCTGACAAAATTTGATTATTGTAATATCTCAAGCTATTACAGAGATATTACGATTAAACCCCCCCCCCCACAAAACCTTATATCTGATATTGAATTTTGAATTTGTTTATATTTGTTAAAGAAACCAAGATTGCATCATTCCAGCTAGCATATTTGTGCTTCTTCGATTTACCAGAGAAGTACAAACAAAACTGGACTTAAAAAAGCAGGAAAAAGTTCGAGAAAACCGAAATCTAAAACTTCTCCTGAATCGTATGTTTTCAGGTTCATCTAATGAGCAAGAGTGATGTTTAATCACGGGGTGTGCGATAGACTTACCTTCACGTGGTGCACCCTGGGCAACATATACTCATACGGCAAAAAGGTCTATTATTCGGCAGTTGACTTCTGACTTCAAACTACCAAGACCCCACTGCATTTCATATTCTACTAATTTCACAGTACTCACCTCACCTTTTCTACCTTTGTGTCTGTCTGTCTCTTACGTCTGTGAATCATTATTCTTTCCCCCTCTCGACGTTTTGTCACTTTGATGTTTATCTTCCTTTCTGTGAAGCCTGAAGTCAACTAAAGGGCTAATGATACCTATTATAACGCCTGCCATTTGAAATAAATAAATAAATGTTTAATCACAGCGTCCTTGGAGCACTCAGTGAGAAGTTGTTTGCTACCAATGCCCAACAAAATGACCACTCATATCACCCGGCCTTCTTCTTGTCCAATTACTTATCCAAGTCTATCATTTCAGCTGCTATGGATGTTCCAACTTGCAGTTTCCACTTCTGCACTCTTATAAAGTGGAATGGGATTAGTCGCGGTGCCGTTAAAGCAATGTTTATATTAGAAGAGGACACGTCGGGCTAATTGCCTCCCAACCACGCCTTCTAATGTCACCATGCTGCGGTCACGGCGTCTTAATCGCTGTCATACTCCCACATCTCTCTTTAAAGGCTACCGCAATATTCCAAAGACCTCGGCTCGCATAAACATCTTTCCTTTTTCAATGGCATTTAACACGGCACTACTCCGTGGACTTGATCGAGTTATTCATCCAGCATCGAAGAGTAATCGGGAAAGGATCGGCAAGAAGAAGTAATCTTTCATAAAAAACAGTAAATTTAAAGACATGTTCATGGCCTATGAGAACGATTCCTACTGCCGCGTGGGCAGTGATGTAAATGACCAACAACACTAATTGATTTCTGTCATCGAGATGGGTTGGTGGAATTCGATTTCCTTGAAAAAAACTGGAGAAGTAGCAATAACTTAATTTCAAGTACCTACAAAATAAAGCAGGTGATGTAGCAAGTGAAGTAGGCTTTCCATTTTTCCCATCAGTTGGGCACAATTACAATATATCTCTAAATGAGATCAGTGCACTTAATGGGGTGAAGGCGCTAAAAATTCTCGGACCCCTTAATTTGCCTGGGAAATTTGCGCATGCCTCGAGGACAGAAAATGCCTAATTTGGCTAAGGAGTCAGTTGTTTGACAAATGTGGAGTGAGAAATTTTGAAATGTCCGTTTCTTGAAGTGTGGGATAATTTTTTCTTCCCGGAATGCCAATAGACTTATATCTACATTAGACAACATTAGACAGATTATTGCCATTATTATATCAAATGACAGGCTTTATGATATCTATCACAGGGGGTGTGCGATAGACTTACCTATACGTGATGCACCCTGGGCAACGTATACTCATGTGGCAAAAAGGTCTATTAATTGGTAGTTGACTTCTGACTTCAAACTGTCATGACACCACTGTATGTCATATTCGACTACTTCCATAGTACTCACCCCCCACTCTATGCCATATTCGACTATTTCCACAGTACTCACCTTACTGTATGTCATATTCGACTACTTCCACAGTACTCACCTCATTGTATGTCATATTCGACTACTTTCACAGTACTCACCTCAACCGTATGTCATATTCGACCCCTTCCACAGTACTCATCTTACCTCGACTATTTGTCATATTTGACCCCTTTCACAGTACTCATCTTACCTTGTCATATTCGACTACTTTCACAGTACTCACCTCACCTTCTGTACTATCTTTGCGTCTGTCTGTTTGTTTCTTTTACATCTTTGAAACACTCTTTTGTTCCCCTCCCTCTCGACTTTTTTTCACTTTGATGTTCCTTCCCCTCTGTGAAGCCTGAAGTCAACTTAAAGGCTAATAATAACCATCAAAACGCCTGCCATTTGATACAAATATTTCACTTTAATTACCTGTTAAGTCTTATTCAACTTTCATTGTGAATGGGTATCATTTCTTGAAAATATAAAAATAGTGAATGAAAGTGGTAGTACTACGTCCAACAGCAGCTTTTAATGCAACTCATAATTGAGCTTCTTTTTAATTGGGTGAATTTAAAGGCCATAAGATTACGTATGAAAGTATTAAACTGATAGGCTCGGTCAATACTCAAATATCAGCTTTCCCGCTGAACGTCCCCGATGTCAGAAGTTGGAGTGACTAGAAGTAGGAATGAAGGTTTTCGGAAGTGCCGATGATTGAGCTACTCAAACACTAAGACTTGCTACCACAATCCCACCCCACCNGAAATTTTGAAATGTCCGTTTCTTGAAGTGTGGGATAATTTTTTCTTCCCGGAATGCCAATAGACTTATATCTACATTAGACAACATTAGACAGATTATTGCCATTATTATATCAAATGACAGGCTTTATGATATCTATCACAGGGGGTGTGCGATAGACTTACCTATACGTGATGCACCCTGGGCAACGTATACTCATGTGGCAAAAAGGTCTATTAATTGGTAGTTGACTTCTGACTTCAAACTGTCATGACACCACTGTATGTCATATTCGACTACTTCCATAGTACTCACCTCACCTTTTTCTATCTTTGCGTCTGTCTGTTTGTTTCTTTTACATCTTTGAAACACTCTTTTGTTCCCCTCCCTCTCGACTTTTTTTCACTTTGATGTTCCTTCCCCTCTGTGAAGCCTGAAGTCACCTAAAGGGCTAATGATAACTATCAAAATGCCTGCCATTTGAAATAAATAAATGATATCTATCTTTGGCTCCTTAGTTGACTTCGCCTTCACAAGGGAAGGAACACATATATGTCTATATAGTCTTTAGGATGGTTAACAGTAGTTCATTAGTTGACTTTTGGCTTCCCAGTATCTCTGGGTTTCCGTCGTTGTCTTTAGGGCTGGACACCGAATCAATTGTGTACTCTCTACATCCACCTTTAGGTCACATAGGGGGGATGTCGGTTGAGTAGACAAGTTATTTCAGATATGAAGATTTGCTCCATTGAGCGTGGAATAGATTCCTGGGAAAAAAAGCAGGAACCTAGTCCAATTTGGGATAGAATGGGGCAAACGAACATAACAGGAAGTTGGAAAGCCAATGGTTCCAATTCACTCAAATTCTGGAAGTGCTGAGTAGTTTTCTTTCACGTAATTTTTAAGTTCTCAAAATTTCAAGTTACCTGAGATGAATCTGTTGGCCTTTTATTTTAACTGAATGGTTTATTAAACCTCTTTCATTTATTTGTCGATTTTTACAACCACACGGAGAATTCGTTGAACGCTTCACAGTTAACTACCTGTTTCCTCAAATTTATTGAAGTCAGTTTAACTAATTGCTATTAATTATTTGACAATGATAACGATCAGATATTTTCGAATGTTCCAAATCGTGCATATAACCTAAAGTACCGAACTCAAGGGGGTTACTGCATTTCATATTCTACTAATTCCACAGTACTCACCTTTTTTCCACCTTTATGTCTGTCTGCCTCTTTTACGTCTGTGAATTATTATTCTGTCCCCCTCTCGACTTTTTGCCTCTTTGACGTTCCTCTTCCTTTCTATAAAGCACGAAGTCAACTTAAGGGCTAATGATACCTATCGTAACGCCTGCCATTTGAAATAAATAATTAGTTTTAAGAGGATAAATTCATAAGTACTATGATATATTGTTATTATAAAATATCAATAAATTGCCTGTTTCTCTGGCACACTGTATAGGTTAGATCTTATAGAAGAACATCGTTTTGAGACGAATTAACTCCTTGGAAACACCGTGAAGGTAAGACTATGACAAGTAAACTTATCTCTATTGAACAGTCAACTAAGAGAATTAAAATAAAATTAAATCAAACTTCAATTATACTACACACAGTAATCATGGAGATACGGCGAAGTGAACTGTTAGCACCTAGACTAAATTGCATTCCACTTTCTTGACGTTTCACTTAACTCCACAACCCCTGAAACTTCACTTCCGGAAATGGAAATTGCTGTTGGGCATTTTAAAGAACACAACATTGGGGAAATTGACACTTGGNCCCCCTCCCCTCCTGTCTCCTATCTGCCTTAACGATTAATTGGTTTCTCACAGAACCCAGTCCTTCCAAACCTCTTCTCCCATCTCTATGACTCAGACTCTTTGTGTGTGCTTTTGTGTATGTGTGTGGTTCCAATGCTTCCAAGTTTATTTCAACTTGAAGGCACAAACGAGAATATACCAATTTAACAATTGAAACATGGCTAATTCTCCATCGATTCCCGACTTCTTCTGGTCACTTCAGTGAATGCCTGTCTGCAGAAAAATGTATCTTTATGCATTCTCCCTCTGGCTCTCAACTGTGGAATTCCTTAAAAAGATTTTTTGTTTGTACACATTCAACCATATCGGAGAATTCGGAAATTTCGAAACCGTTTTCAATTAATTCCGCGTCAAGACGCAGGACAATTAGATTTTTCTTCCCAAAACGCCACATCTGGAAAATATAAAGTTGTATCAAAAAATCGCACTTATCATTAGCAAAGTAGGCATTGTACAGAATTTGGAACTAACCTCCACGGCTCTTGGCATGTCCAGACATAAACAAATAGCAGTAAATTATTTTAAATACCACGTCTATTATTACGATGGGTGAGGATGTTGATGTAGAGAACAGACCCATGGTATCATGGACGTCGTCCAAAGTTTATCGAAATGATTTTTGTTTCTTGTAGAGTGCGATGCAACGCATTTCAGAGACTGTCTCACTAGCAACTGGTATAAACCAACTTCAGTATATATAAGGTCAACAAAACTGAATGACTTCAGAGTTAAATAGGTGCGCAAAAAGCATCATACGGAGAAATGGAACTTAATATTTCTCACTTGATATTAACTGTCCTGATTAAATACACTTTTGAATTTAAAATTGCCGAATTTAGGGCATTTTGTTAGAGTGGTGTATCAGCCATCACTTTTAAACTTTACTGATAACTGAAGAAAAGTGTGAAAACTTCAATGGTCTCCGATATTTATTTATTCATTTCAAATGGCAGACGTTTTGATAGATATCATCAGCCCTTTAGCTGACTTTGGGCTTCATAGGGGGAAGGAACATCAAAGTAACAGAAAGTCGAGAAGGGGAGGGGAACAGAAGAGTGATTTAGAGATGTAAAAGAGACAAACACAAGGCCAGAGAAAAGGTACGATGAGTAGTAGAATAAGACATACAGTGGAGTCATGGCAGTTCGAAGTCGGGAGTCAACTGCCGGTTAATAGACACTTTTGCCGTATGAGTATCGTTGCCCAGGGTTCACCACGTGGAGGTAAGTCTATCGCATACCCCTGGTCTCCAATATATATATATATATATATATATATGAATTTGTAAATTGGTGGAGTTTCATTGATATTTCGCTTCGGCTATTTACACGCTTGGTATTTTCAAAATTCGAAAATTTCGATTCATTTTGGGAAAAACAACGGTTGATATGCGATGAAATCTTCAAATGAAAAGCCTCTTTATAGGGGGAAAAACAGCATTCACTTTCGAAAGCATTTAAGTGGGATTTGCTGGCAAATGCTTGCCAGTGAAATTCAACGCCTCATTTGATTCACTTCGAAATGCGCTCATTTTTCCTTTCATGATCTGTGTGCGCGCGTGTGTGCGTACTAGAGCTCAGAAAATGGAGGCAATTTATAATTGTCACATGAAGCGCATTCGTGGTGATTTGAAATGTGAAGTCAATGACTTGAATAGAGTGTAATGTGTTTTGTGTTTAACTTCCCCCCACATCTCTCAATCAAGTGCCCACGGGC